AAGAGACTTTGTATCAATAATTTTGTTGAATGTTTGAGGATGGAATTTTGGTCTTTTGTTTCGACTAGACTGGAAGGGTTGTCTGTAACCTGCGTAACAAAAACAATGTTTCTGTCAAACACAGAAGATGGTTGTGAGGAATATTAAGAATACGACAGTAATAGTCAAGCTTTAATGATTCCTTCATTAATCTTCATAGTAGAACGGTATTAATTTTATTTAACTTTGTCACATTTTCATTAGGTTTGCCATGTTTTTTTTAGCTGAAGGATAAAAAATATGACCTGTTAATAATAATTTTTTCACTTCTTATATTTTGTAATAATTTATTGAGAGTTAGCCTTGTTAGCTTGCTGCTTCTTTAAGCTGAGCTTTCATCATCCATTTTCTTCACCTCTGTGCTTGACAGTGTTGGCTTAGGTATTGATGAGGTGACATTTATGCGGCTTATCCATTGAAATCTAAATAGCTTCACTTTCATCTATTCAATTCAAACAAGAAGAAGATTTATGTGTAGAGTTACAAAATGATGCAAATACTTACCTTCTTTAGACTTTCCAATATTTTGAGCAACATCCTGGAATAATTTCAAAAGCACCTCAGCAACTTTAATTTGCCTGTATAAGTTTTAGAAGTTCACATTAAGTGAGGCAAATCAAGACAATACATGTCTATGGCCATGCAAGTTTTTTTTCAGTATAAATTTGTGGCCATGGTCTGGAATGACAGCAACCTGCATATTTTGTGTTTTTGTTTCTGTAGGGTTTAAAAAAGAACTATGCAGCTCATACACTGTAAAATCTCTGCATGTTACCGTGTATCTACCAAAATCATTGGTCAAGGGCTTCTAGGAGAGAGTAAGACTATGGGAATTTTTAAATGGAGCTCCATTAATATCTGCAAAATTGGTTTTCAAGAGGCAGCACTAGAATATATAAACAGCATTAAATATTTTACGTAATGTTATGGTAAAAACATGAGGAAACAATTTTCATTGTCACTGTCTGCATTAAGATCTAAAACTTCCACTGTCAATGTCATTCTTCAGGTAACGTTCAAAATTGGGTTAATGGGTGATTGGTTTTGCTTCAACTTAGTTTTAAAGAATGTCTTTTCTGGGATAAATTGGAATTAAGACTAAAGAGAAAGTCGTAGTTGATTAATTTTTTAAAAATGTATTGCTTTTCTTTTGAAAAGGGAATAATAAAGCTAGATACAGTTGTCCCTTGCAGTTGTGAAACACATTAGCAGCCACAAGGTTTCATTTTTTTTTTTTCGATTGACCTCTAGTGTATGGCCTCACAAAGGAAGAATGAAATTTCCTGGCAGTGTCAGAAGCAGCCAGAGAAATTGCTGTGTCATTTATCTCATCACAACTGTAATGTGTTGAAATGTGATTTTGTAACAATGAATGCGAGATTTGTACCTTCTTTTCTGTTATTATTGATAGCCATCACTCTTTAAAGTTATAGTAGGCAGGAAAGTTGATCTTTTGGTGATACAAGTCACTTAACATGGATAGAGAAGATCTGTCATAATGATGGCACTCCCAGATAATGAAAATAATGGCTAGACGAATCATGACATTTATGTACAGTTCCAGATTACCAAAGCAAAAGATGCTGTCATATTAAAAAAAGACCAGTGGCAAAATTTCTTCAAGTAAATTAACCAGTTACAGAAATTCAGTATCTTTGCAGAACTTGAATTTGGCCAGAACTTTATGTCTGATTAACAACCATCCACACAAGGTTCCTGTAATAATGAAGCTTGTTCGAAAGGGTTTTGGTTTAAGTGGGAAGTCGCTGCCGAAAACCTCCTTGTAAAGTCTTGCAAAAACTATGTGGTGGCTTTTAATGACATCCTCATTTATATTTAAGCAGAGATGAAAAGGTCCTTGTTCTGGAATAAGAGACAAATAAGGGTGTTCTTGGAAACTTGTTTCTGGTGGCTGAACAATTACTTTTTTGGTGTAATACCAGGTTGGCCAATCTCCAGGCAGTGGAATAACAAATAATTTACAGAAATCATGAAGGGGAAGAGCAGAATGCAATGTATGGTTAAGTGCAGCCTTGTAATCCTCCATGTGTTTCAAGGCTGCCTCGAATTCAAACGCAAGTGCTCAGGGTAAGAAGTTCATCTTGTGCCATGCCATTGTATACTCTAGAAATGAAAGTAAAAATATCGTTACTTGTGCACCATGATTGCGTTAAGACTTTATATAAGGCATACATTACTCAGGTTTATGGTAAAGAAATTAAGTCAGTACCTAGTGGGTTACTGGAACATACATTGTGCAAGTGCTCATGTAGTGTATTTCAAATTGGGTGTTCTGGTGTTTTTTTTTTTTTTTTTAATTTTTTTTTCTGTACCAAACAATTCATGCAAACCTAATCAACTTTGCAAAAGAAGACATATTTTGTTTTCTTTATGGTTCAAATGCTATTACAGTTTATGCATTCACTGTGACTTTACCCCCTACAGTTATGAAACCCTGTTAAACGGGACAGTTCTGGACAGACTGGGAAAAGAAAAAAACATGAAACTCTTAATAAACACCTGAACTGTTTGATCTGTTTTTGTATATCTTTAGCCTTCAGCTGCTGACACTTTTGGGGAAGAGTGGTTAGAAATGAGTGGTCGTGGCTTTCAAGACCTTCTGTGAACAGTTCTTGTATGTATCTTTTTACAATATCACCTCTGCAAACAGTCTCCTGCACTCTGAAAGTAATTTTCAAAACACTGTGGACACACTGTGCATTGGGTTTTTTTTACAGCTGGTATACACCGTATTCACAAATGGCGGACGCGCGGGAAAAAACTGGTACCTAATCATGAAAACGAGGCGTTGGAGGATAACAAACACAAATTTCTCACTGATAGCACAGTTTTAGTCAACTTACAGAGCGGTGATTTCTTCTTTTTACAACGTTTCGGCGGACTTTTTTTACTGTAACAGGTTTCTTAGGATGTGGTCAAGTTCTAAAGTTTACTGTTGTGTTCCCCTTTGCAACCAAACGGGCCGCGTAGATCCGCAAGGAAACAGAGTGGGATTTTTTACTTTTCCGAAGGATCCAAACATTCGCCAGCAATGGCTACAGAAAATCCGAAGAGATGTTGGCCCTAACTTTTCATTAACGAAAGATACCAAGATCTGCTCGTTACATTTTCGTGAAGAAGAAATAAAAACAGGCATTTCCGGCAAAAAAATGGAATTGGTGAAGGGCACAATTCCTTCGAGGTTTGCGTGGCGTACTTCTCCACGGAAAAGACATTCGCCATTAGACAGAAGTCAAATACCTGAAAAAAGGAAGCAAATGGAGGATTTATCTACATGCAACGAGAATGGATGTGCGGCTGAAGACCTACACAGTGTACCGGTAGCTAGCACGAGCACAGTAGACAGCAGCAGTCTTTCAGAGGATGATATGGTTTCAAACAACCTCGAAACTTCTGACCATGAAATTCAAGAAGAGTCACTCGAATCATTGAAAATGCAGCTGCTACATGCCCAGAAAGAGATTGCTTGTTTAAATGAAGATTTATCAAATTTGAAATCACGCTTAGCTAAAACTGAAGCTGAACTGGTGAATTCAGAAAAGGAACTCAAACGTCTATCGCAGGAAAACAATGACCTAAAATCACGTACGTTTTGCATAAACAATCTGTCAGACAACGATTCTATTTCATTTTACACTGGTTTCCCAAACTTAGAGACGTTCAAAGCAACGCTTTCATATCTGAATCCAGGGGAAAATGGTGAAAATATTCGATACTGGCGTTCAATTGATGTGAAAGTAGACGACGAAAGGAAAAGTCAACAAAGGGATTGTAACAAACCTGGGCGAAGAAGAACTCTTCAGCCAGAGGAAGAGTTTTTTCTGGTGTTGTGTCGATTGAGACAGGGATTTAACGAGAAACATTTAGCATTTTTATTTGGCATTTCTCAGCCGACAGTTAGCAGAATTTTTATTTCCTGGATTAACTTTATGTTTCTTCGTTTTGGCAATATAAACATTTGGCCTAGCCGGGAGGAAATTAACAAAACTATGCCTGAAGATTTCAAAGTTAAATATCCAAACACGCGTGTCATCCTAGACTGTACAGAAATAAAATGTCAAATGCCAAGCAGCCTGCTTCTTAACAGCAGATTATTTAGTTCCTACAAGAACCACACTACACTCAAAGGGCTTATTGGGATTGCCCCTTCAGGAGCAATAACATTTACAAGCCAGCTGTATACCGGCAGCATTTCAGACCGAGAAATTGTAGAAAGAAGTGGTATCCTGGACTTACCCTTCAGCGAGGGTGATGATATAATGGCAGACAAAGGTTTTACAATCGAGGACTTGCTTCCTCTGGGTGTTACATTAAATATACCTCCATTTCTTGGCCAAGCAGCTCAGATGTCGCCAGAGGATGTGGTTAAAACACAAGTAATTGCAGCATTACGTATCCATGTGGAGAGAGCTATTAATAAGATCAAAAATTTCCACATTTGGGACAGAGTAACCCCTCTATCTTTATTTCCTGTGATTAATCAAATGTGGGCAGTCTGCACCTTTTTGTGCAATGTCCAGGACCCCATTATAACTGAGTAATACGTACCAATGCCATACCTACCTATGGAAACTGAATTGCCAAAAACAAAAAGAGTGCAAGAGGCCTCATAATAATTGACTTATTTAAGAGTACTGTAATAGATAATGTGAGATCTGGAAAGTTTACTGACTTGATATATTGCTTTTGTTTTGTGAGTGCACATGTGAGTTACATTTGACATTGAAATTTAAATGGGACTTGCTGCCAGGGTGTAACAGATTAAAATTAACCTGCTTTTATTTTATGTTTACATGTAGGTGCTGCTCTTAGTTCTTTTAAACGTTAATCATGTCTGACTCACCTACACTTGGCACTTGAAATCCGAAAGTCAATTAACCCTATACAGGGAATACATAATCAGGCAAAAAAACTGACATGGAAGGAATGCTGTAAGTAGT